GCCTGGCTGTGCACACACACCGAGCCGGGAGCAGCGATGGCAGCGACACCTCAGCTCCCACCGGGCCATCCCCTCCTCTGCTGCGCCTGCTCCCACTGCAGCCTTTGCCACAGCACCACAGGTTCCCTTACAAGCTTTCCTTTCTTTCCACAAACTCTCTCTTCCCTTTCAAACCATCCAAGAGCTTTAGAGACACCTGACCCTCTCAGGCACACACCAAGGCAGGTGCCAAACAGCACCCAGCACCCAGTTCTGATTCTCTGCATGAAGGCCAATATTTGAATCCAGCTTTTGTAATCAGAAGATGTACTGTTTTTATGAGAATTGCAGCTGAAAGGCCAATTTAAAGCTACTTCCTTAAATGGTCTCACACTCTATGCCTTCTCCCCATACAATGAGAACTCAACAGGAAGATGCAGGTCCACACACACCTCAATCAAAAGCCCGTTCAGAGCAGGATCAGCTCCTCCCCTTGGCTCTGCAGCCCCACGCTGAAGGCTCACAAACAAGAGATGGCCCAGGGGACAGAACCAACAGATGGAACTGCTTCCCATCAAAGCTGCACTCCCAGCACATGGGAACCCCAGCAGTGCCACTGAGGGTGCCAGGCTGGCACCCAGCTCAGAGCCAGGCACACCAATGGAAACGAGGGGAACAATCCCAGGTGCCCAAAGCTACAGCTTGTGAAACTTCTTGTTTAGTTCCAAGCATGTCACACCATGAACATGTTCCCTCCATCCTCCATCCAAGGCCCTCAACAATTAACACTACTCTAAAAAACAATTTGCTGCAACACAGCCAATTTTTTCTCCTTGACCACTGCTGATAGTGCTTTTGTGCAGATTATTCTCAATTTTAAGTTTTAACAAACCTTTAGACTAAAGACTATAAGCAAAGAACTCTTTTGTTTTGCTCTGTTAAAAAGAGTTTCTTTTTCCAATGAGAAAATGCTGTATAAACTCTGAAGTAACTAACCAGTCATCCTGATTAATATTTAAACACTTCTGCAAACCCACATTTTCCTGCAGCAAAAATAATGTTTCAGCTGTGGTTTGTTTTTTGGGCTTTTTTTGCATGGATTCACAAGGCAGGCAATAAACAAAGCATGTTTTGAGGAACATTCTGACCTTGTGTACAAGAAAAAAACAAAAACAATCCCTGCAAGAGTACCTGGCCCCAAACACTGTTTTAAACCTTCCATGAAAACAAGGAACCACATCTGAAATGCTGGTGAAGGTGAAAAGGCACTGGGAGCACATGAAATAAAGAATCAAATCCAAATACCCTCAGCAGATCACACAACACTGGTGTACTGGCCAAGGTGGTTGGCATTCTGATTAGCTAATTAGCAATTAGTAATTCTCCAGGTGTAAAGAATGATTTCATACCCTTCTGCAGAAAGCAAACACTCCAGAGAATCATCACAGAGAATAATAGGAAATCAGGAAGCAGACTTTAATTTTCAAAGCTTTCAGCACAGACAGCTAGAACACTTCAGATTTACTAAGATCAACTTGAAGCCAGAATCATCACTAATTTATGAAAGTTGCAGGCTACTGAAATCCAAGGGAATTGTAGAGACCCAGTGGGTTTGACAAGAGAAAAGTCAATGTGGTAGAGCCACCCCAGCCATTGCAAAACACAGCAATTAATGTGTTTACAGCACTACTAAAGGAGCTCATGAAAGGATGGATCATACACTAATTTGTGATAGATGTTGCACAGATTATTGGTAATAACACTTAAAGCATATTCAGCTCTGTGCCATGACCAAATAGAATGCACAAAGGCTGCTGAGCAGATCAAGGGAGATTCAGCCATCAGGTGCTGGACAGAGGTGGGCATGCACTTCTGTGAGATGCAGAACCTGCATTTTTCAAGGTGCACTTCTGTGAGATGCAGGACTTGCATTTTTCAAGGCACTGCAGGCCAGGAGGGGATAGAAAATGCTCTCTGGAAATCTTTCAGCAAAGAAAGAAAGCTAATCAAAACCAACATCAATGCATTTCCAGCCAGCCAGTCACTCTGTAATTGCTGAGAATACCTGTAGGCTGCAAAAATCTGGAGTCTTACTAAAAATGATGATTACAGTACCCTGCAATTTTGAGGCAGAGAGCCAAGATGTCTTCTGGCCACCAGCTCATCAGGTAGAACAAAGATCTGATGGCTCCTGCTGTCAGTACTGAGGAAAGCATTCAAATAACTACCATGTAATACTTCAGGCATCTACTCAGCTCTGAGCCTTGGTCAGAAGCATTTCCAAAAGTAGGACAGGTTTCAGAAGTTCCTCTGCTCTAACCTGCTCCATGGAAAGGTGGCCCAGGATAATCAGGAAACTCCAACACACAAGTCACCAGCAAGGACAAAACTTGGCATGAGTTGTGACAAAGAAACTTCAAGGCTCAGATTAAATATTTAGACTTTCTGTGAGGGGTGACAGTCTGCTGCTCACTGCCTCTACTCATCAAAGCACAAAAGCAGCAGCAACAAAAAGGAACTTCCAAGTCAGATTCACTGGGAATGCAAGCACGGTGACATTACATCCTAATTAAGAAATCCAGTTCAAAGGACACATGCTCATAATGCAAACACCACATACCATGGAAATCCATACCTGCCAAGTGAGTTTCTTGCAAACTGGTGCAGACATCACTCACAATTCAGCCACATAAAATAGCTTTATACATCATCATCACTGCAATGTTATCAAACTGACACTGATTAAAGCACAGCTCACAGACATCCTTTGCAATACAGGCTCAACATTCACACAGCAGGTCAGGATTGAAGCTCCTCTTAATGAGCAAGTGGGGAGGAAAAAAAAGGAAAAACAACCCTGAGCAGTCACAGGAAGCTGCTGGTATTCCTATCTAGAGCAGCATAAACAGCAGATAGTAGTGAGTAGCCTGCAAGCTGTTTAACTCCTAAAGGGAGCACGATGACAGAGCAGCTGTTTGACACTGGAAGCCCAAAGAGCAAGAGGCAGATGACTGCCAGCTCCCCCTGTGTACTGGGGATAACTATGGGAAACCTGCCCAGCTCCCCCTGTGTACTGGGGCTCACTGTGGGAAACCTGCCCAGCTCCCCCTGTGTACTGGAGATCATTGTGGGAAACCTGCCCAGCTCCCCCTGTGTACTGGGGCACATGGTGGGAAACCTGCCCAGCTCCCCTGTGTACTGGGGATCACTGTGGGAAACATGCCCAGCTCCCCCTGTGTACTGGGGATCATTGTAGGAAACCTGCCCAGCTCCCCCTGTAAAAGCCCAGTGGATGGAGCAGCTTCTCGCTCCAGAGCAGAATCGTGGCTCTCAGTGCAGCAGAAGGAGCAGAACCCAACTCCTTGCACTGCCACTGGCCCCAGCCCTGAGATGCAGGGCACCAGAGCAGCAACTTCATCTCCTGAAGGAACAAGGTCTGTACCCATGGCTGCACCTAGCAGGGACAGCACATCTCAGAGAGCAAGAAAATTCATGCACACAGTTTTTCCCAGCTGAAATGAAGTCCAAATTAGCTTTTATACATATTTTAAAGAGATACATACTTTCATGGATAAGCAACGCTGCTAAAGGAAAGCTGTGCTGAAAGGAACTGGCACAGAAGGAGGTTCTGGTCTTTGGGTGTGAACCAGGACAAAGCAGCCCCAGCCCGAAGCACACAAGCTGCAAAAACACACAGTTTATAACAAAGTGACAGAAAACCCAACAGGGATGACATCTGTTACTAATTTAACACACAATGTCATCCACACATCAGCTGTTCACCATTTTCAAATGCAATTGTGCCTAAAAGGAAAAGTGGGCTTTAAGAAGGAATTTAATGTGGGATGTGAAAGCTGCTTTAGCTTGTTGTCTTTCTTAACCCCCGGGTTCCCTGGCACTAACACACAAACACCAACATGCTGAAAACACCTCCCAGAGCAGCCTCACACAGCACCACCTGCACAGGGGGCAATGGCAAGCACAGGCAGGATGCATGATGAGGTCTGGAGACAGAAATGGTACAAATCCAGGGGTAATACTCAAAGGCTTTTGGCAATCTTAACAGGAAAAGAAAATAAAATCTCTGATGTTTTGCAAGAGACTCAGTCCAAGACACACTGACAGACCTGCCAAACACAGTGCAACAGACTGCCCTAACGACAGGGCAATGGATAAAAAAAGAAGGAAAAAAAATCATCCAGCTCCTTTTGACTGTACTTGTGTTCAAGCTACAGAAATTCCAACACCAGATGATGCAGAGACACGTGTTTCAGCTCAGAGAAAAGATAACAAGCATGCACCACCTGGTTATGGACTCTGAATAGTGAGGCTGATAATTTCAATTGCTTCTCTGGCAAACCTAGGAGGAAAAGAAAGTATCTTCTAGGGAAAGGATCAACAAAGGTGAAGCAACAGAGCTAAGTGCTCTTTAAATGAATCACTGAAGGTGATCTGTGAAGAATACAGGCAAACAGAAGTAAGGAGAACAGTGTCAACAGTCAAAAGGCTACTGAGAAGCCAGATTTTAAGCATGTATTCGAATTTGTAAGAGGCAGCCAACAATAAAGAACAAAAAGACACAAGGCTCAACCACTCCTTTGGACAAAGAAGCCAGACAAGTGACAGGAACAAACCTGGGAGAGGTCTATGATGAGCTCGATCCAAATTCTGAAAGAAAAGGGTTCTAAAGTGACACACTGGATGGGACCAGAGACAAAGAGGGAAAAGATGCAGACATGGCAGCTACAGACAAAAGTGAATGCAAAGAAAAAAACCTTATGACAGGCAACTGCAACAAGTAATTGTACTATGGCAGATTTATCATATAAACAGCTGATATTTTCTACAAATAAAATATGGTAACACAGAAAAAAGAATCACAGAGATACTCGGCTCGTGATGAAATCGTTTGAGAGGGTAAATGACTGCTCAGGAATTACACGGCGGCTGTCAGGCAATACCACTGTCCCTGTACAGGCCTCGCAGGTGCTCCCGATAAACAACACGAGATGAAAGCCGGGGATGGCAGCCGAGCCCAGCCCGCTCACGGCACACAGCAGCCGAGGCACGGGGCCGGTGTGCCTGCGGGCTCTGGGTGCGAACCCCGCGGCAGCACCGGGAGCCCTCCCTGAGACACCGCCGACCCACCTGGCCGCGCCACCTGCTCCGCGGGGCTCACTGCGGATCTCCGGCGATGCCTTCCGATCCCAAAGGCTCTGCGGCAGGGGAAGCGGCGCCGGTGCGGCCGGCGGGAGCCTCGGGATGCCAGGCTGAAGGAGGCTGAATGGGGCTGAAGGGTGCCACAGGCCCGCCAGCCGCGCCCACCCGCCCGCACTCACCGGCTCGGCGCGGCCGCCTCCCGCCGCCGCTCCGCCAGGCCCGGCACCGCCGCCAGCTCTCGCGAGAGCCGCCCCCGCGCCGCGGAGGAGGCGGCGGCAGCGCCCGCATCTCGCGAGACTCGCGGGGCGGGGCGGGGCGCGCCCGCGACGCCGTTGCCAGGGAGCGGCCGGGGGCGCCCTGAGGGGGGTGAGGAACCCGCAGCCTGTGAATAAAAACCCAGCGGAAAAATACCGCGGGGAGTGAAATGAATTAACAAAACCGAAATGGCGACAAGTCACGTAGAAATAAGATACATCCCCCGCGCAACCCTCCGCCGAGACGGGCCGGGGCCGTGCTGGAGAGCGAGCGCCGCCCGACGGCCGTGGAGAACGGCGGGGCGGGGAGCCGGGATCTCCTCCGGGGAGCCGGGATCTCCTCTGAGGAGCTGGGATCTCTCCTGAGGAGCCGGGATTTCCCTGAAAAGCCGGGCTCTCCCTGTGGAGCCGGGCTCTCCCTTGTAGAGCCGGGATCCCCTCCATGGAGCCGGCATCTCCCCTGAAGAGCCGCGCTGAGGGGATGATGGCGGGCCAGCTGCCATATAGTACAGTTTATATCTAGGAGAGCTGGCGTCTCTGATATCTCAGTTTTCATGCAAAATCTGATTCCTGATTTTAGTTACAACTCTATGTTTGTACAGTCCTAGAGGAAATACGGAGTTTAATCTGCTATCTGTTTAGGAATACAATCAGTAGACGTGGCTGTCATTCCATAAGACCCCAGCAGAACTATCCTGTCCTGCAGTTCAAGCACCCTCAATGTACTGAAGTGTCACAGGTGCCACTAAACCCTTCCCACCCCTCATGGCACAGAAGAGGGAGGATAACCCAATACTGAGCCCCAGATAGATTCAAATCATTTGAAAAACATTTGTCTTTTTTCTAAAATATTCTCTGATGCATTGTTATTAAATACAAGCAGGTTTGATTTCCATACCAGGGGAAAGGACTTTAAAAATCCTCATGCACACTGGAGACAGGAGGGGAGGAGGGGACAAGAAAGCAAAGACTTGTGCCATATCCAAACACTCCATAAAGGATGGCAGCTTTGCTACAACAGACAGCAAACCATGAATCTGTTGAATGAATTCTCTTTTCTATCCTTCAACAATGGCCAGAAAGACAAACCACCCAGTTCTAGAAAGCCAGCAGCAGAACAATGAGGGGCAAGCAGCTGGCACAAAAGCTGTCAGAATGTGCAAACAGGGCAAGGAGGCAGATGCCACACGCCCAGTGGTGAATAAGCAACACCAAACACAAGCATTTACAGCAGGAAAGGTCAGGAGCATCTTAGACAGCCAAATCAGTCAAATAGCCAGCAGGAGCTTCCACCTACAGATCTCGCAGTCTGTTTTGTTTCTGTTTGACTTCCTGTGATTTTGGCCTTGCTAAATTTTCATGAGCTTGTTGGGGTTTTTATCCATGTGCTACTGTTTAGCTCCCCCTGAGGATCAATATTGATATTGGTGGGTTTTTTTAATGAGGCACCTGTGAGAGACACGACTGATTTTTTCACTGAGAATTCTGTAAAAACCAGGTGTGCACAGTCAGTATGCATGTGCACAGGGTAGGCCAAAAAAGCCTTTGTCACATTACAAAGCAAGGTGATCCTTCCCCTCTCCTGACCCCAGTGAGGCCACATCTGGACTGGTTATTTGATCTACATTTATCATGCCTCTTTTATTTCTTTTCTGACTGCTGTGGTTACAAATTATCATTATGAGATTTATATAAGTGTTTCAATGGCCCAATAATTTCTCACCATCCTCTTTCTGGTGCCCTCAGTCAATAAAGGGAGATGACCAAAATTGCACATTTGTTCAGGTGAAAATGAATCTTTGCATTTTTTTGGTATTAAAATGTTTTTGATAACATCCTCTGTCCCACACTGAACCTTTTGCTTTGCAACTGCTGCTACACTGATCAGAAGTTTAAGCTGAAAATCCATAACAAATGTACTTTCTAGATAATTAGTAAGTAATTATATTAATATTCCATCTTCTTTTTAATGGGCATTACCTAGCACTAGGACTAGACAACACTATGTTGTCTCTAGTCCTGAAAAGTCATACTGTAAGTGTACAGAAAGTTTAAATATTTCTGTAGTCATCATTCATCTATTGGGTAGCTGAAGATTAGGAGGAATTGTGGTTTGGAGAACAGAATTATTTTTTTTAGATCAAAATGGAACAGGTTATGATTTTGGCACTTGAAGATTATATACTTTATGTGTGTGTCATTATTGCAAGGGGACATCAATAGGTTTGTGCTAGGTAAACACTTTTTATTTATCCACCATTGTGATTTTGTATGCTGGAAGAATGGAAAGGAAAATAAAATTACTCTCATCATTACTTTTGTGCTTATTTTGCTGTCATAAAATTAAATGGCTTCATGGTCTTACCCCAAATTGTAAATTACACCCAAACAGTCACAGGCCAGTCAGTTCTTATGCTTTAAAATAATGTCCAAGAGCTTTTGGTCCACTTTATTTGGTAATATATAAGTGAGACATAGGTACAAAAATGCAATTTCATTGATTGAAGTTAGCACAGATGCCTGATTAAAGAATAAATAGAAAGTGCACCTTAAGCAGACAGTTGGCACAGAGCCCTGGTCCATCTGCTCCCAGCACCAGGGCCTTTGCATTGCTGCAAGGATGGCCAGGAGCAGGGGCAGGTCTCTGCTTACAAACACATCTGCAGCCCTCAGCAGGCTGCATCTATATCTGTGGGGAGTTAGGGGGGTTTGTGAGGCTCCCCAAGGCGTGCCAGACATCAAACAAACAAATAAGAGCCAGCCTGGGAACATCCACCTGGGCTTGGAGCAGCAATTCCTCCGGGTCTGAGCTCTGCCAGCGGCAAATGGGGAGGCAGCCACCAGTGTTCCTGCTGGGAATTCCTTCTTATTCATCACAATAATGATGAATTATTCTGGGGGCGCTCCTGAGCACACGTGTGCACAGACCATGCAAAGCCATTTTGTATTTGCTGCCTTTTAAAATCATTGCCATCATTGATTTTTCCCTATACAATTCTTTCTGAGTCCTGCTTGGAGTTGGAATGGATTGCAGCTAATGGTTCCTCTCCCACGTTGGTTTCTGCATGTTAATGGTTCTCCTTCTGGAGGTCTGGAAAACTGAGATCTCAATTCTACAATCAATTGGTTAGGGAAATGAGTAATTTTATTCATGAGAGCCACTGGTCTCACAAATAAATTACACATGAGGCCTAGCACAACATACAGATGTTCAAAGACAGATAGTTTATAGAGAAAATGAGGGACAAAAAGTATATATTACAAGATTTTTGTTTCAGTTTTAATTGTCTGGTGTAGAATCCTTTCCCAGTTCTATAGTTAGGGCCAGACTTACATATGTGCTACCATCTCTGCTCCCACTGTTTCTGCAGTTAATTATAGGGTTTCATCTTTTGGAGGAGGGGAAGGTAATCAAACCTTCCCTTTGTTTCTGTATTTTGCAAAATTCTTCAGAATTTGTTTTAATTTTATCCCTTTGTGCTTTAATCTTAAGCTTTGCCTTCCTAGCCTATTTCTTTTCTGTTTGCAGTCTTTAATCCTAAATTATTATCATGCAGCTTTTGCTGTGTAATTAATCTTCATCTGATTTTAGGCCTTCTTCTGAAAATAGATGTGGGTTTAATTTATGTATTTCCATTAGTACAAAGTTAAACAAAGTTAACCCTAGGCCCTTTTCTGGACACAGGCTCCCCTGCATTTATTCCTTCCTGGTTAACAGCACAAGCAGGCCTGGTGATTTCACACAAATACTGCCCATGGAAGAGTTGTAGAACTGGCCTTAAATGGTTTTTCATTTTCTTACTGATTTGGGTTTCTTTTTCCTTTTATGCTGGCAATTTATAAAATACATCAGCCAAAATGTACCCAGCAGCGCTCCTGGGTAGACTATAAATGCATTTTATTATTTGTTGTGAAATGTCTCACTCGGCGGGGCTACAGCCTTGAACGGAGCCTTTAACCCTCACTGCAGCTGGAATAAATATGAATGAAATGCCCTACTTGATCAATGCTACACAGACACGTGCTCACGTGGACAGACACACTCCGGCTGCTCTCACTACGGCTTGGCTTTGAAGAGGACATCCATGTAAGCCTTGTCCACATCCAGGGATTTCTTCTGCGCCGCTGCCGGGAGCAGCCTCCGGCCCAGCACCACGTCGTCCTTGCCGCGAGGCCTCAGGGTGCGCGCGTCCTCCAGGGCGCTGTGCACGTCCTGCAGCTTCATCTGCAGCCAGTCCTGCCGCTCCACCGCGTGCCGGTGCTCGCCCAGGTTGTGCATCAGCTGCATCTCGCTCACCGACCTCCTCCTGCGCAAAGGAGAGCAAAGACAGGCCCGTGGGAGCCCTTCTTGGGCACCACAACTCGGCCCGAAGGCCCAGCTGTGGGAGCTTCTGTAAGGAATGGCAGCGCACAGCTGTAGGAGCTGCCTGGCTGATGTGTAATGACATCTGGGGAAGAGAGGCATGTAGTAATTACATATCTGTCGTGGCCTCTAACTTGTCAGAGTGTGTGGAGAGCCTGGTTCAAGCATGGCTTAAAGAAAGAGGCCATGAAGGTATTCAGCTAAGGGAAAAAGCAGCCCTTCCCAGGCTTGATTCTGTAAATAATTAAGGTTCTCAGCCACCTTTTATATAATCAACAAGATTCTCAGACCGTTTCCTCAAAAACAGGCAATATTCTGTCCTTGGCTGCTCTAGGAACAGATGGCCATTCTGGGAACAGATATAAAGGTTTTGAGAACTTTTCATATCATGGTGAGAACATTGATCTTGGTTTCAGTAAACTAACTTCAGGTATTGTAAACAAAAGGAGGAGCTGAAGTTTTCTCTACAGCCTATTGGGAGCTCAGGTTTTGCAATATGGATGAAGTGAATTAGCACTGTTATAAAAAGGTGTCGAATTTGATCAATAAACTGGAGTCGATGCTCATCAATCAGATGGTCGTCTCCCTCCACTTCAATAAGAGTGACCCCAAGAAAAGTTTGAAAGCCTCTTTTCCCAGCCTGGCACTTGAAGAAGGAGTCAGAGCTCTTCATTTCTCGGTGTCAAGGTTGTTTATTGTGTCTTATCTATAAAATTCTTTCTCCTGTCCTGCCGAGGTCCATCCATCAGGACAGCCCAAGGCACTCTGCCTGCCCCCAGGGCAGTGTTATGTCTTTACACTAAAAACTACATATACAATGTTTACAATTCCTTCCCAATACCTATCACCTGTGTTAGACAGTGAGCTTCTACTCTAAACCAATCTAAAAGTGCCAACATCACAGCAGAAGATGGAGGCCAAGAAGGAAAAGGAGGAAGGCTGGACATGCCCAGATCCCTCCATCCTGCCCCCCTGAATCCCCATTCCAAAAACCCCAAAATCTACTTTTTCATCTTGTGGTAAATTCACCATCATTCTACTTAATTTGTCATGGCTTGCAGATCTTCATCTAAGGTTGTAACTTCCTCCACAGGTCATAATCAAAACCACAGGCGTTTTGGGCTCTGTGCCAGGGGCTCTGAGATCCCTATAAGGGGTCTGGGCTGCTCAGGACACCCAGAGGGATGTCCTGGATCCTGACACATATCCTCTGATCAGAGAGACATGGTTCTCCCAGGAAAATCCTGGCAAGCTGTGTAGAAGCTGTGGGAAACTTTGATGAAAGAATTCAAACAACTATTATTTCTCTTTCTGTAACCTTTGTTAATAGATATGGTTCTCCAGAGTGTGCTATTCATAGTTCACCACTAGTGTGAGTGAAGATTCCTGAAGGCCAATCAGGTCTTAGGGCCACCATTGTTTCTATTAGAACTGTAGATTTCTAATAAAAAAGTGTCTTTTCATGCCTCCTGATGATGGAGTCTCTGTGTCACCTTTGGCTGTCCCCAGTACCCCTTTGGTGACAGAGGGAGAGTGGGGGATGATTTGTTATTGGTAATGGATATAACAGTGAGAAGGCTTCACAAGTGGGAAGTAGTTCAGTTTTGAGACAATGTTGTTCCTATAATTTAGTTCAGCTATTGCAGAGGAGCTTAGGGCTTTTATAACATTAGGTAAATGGTCAATGAAGCTATGGGATTTATTCAGTGGTAGTTTTCTGAGATCACTAGAGCTAAGGGAGCATGATTCCCTGTGGCTTTGTGTCTCAGCTGGTGGGTGTTAGTGTCTAAGTTACAGCTAGATTCTTACAGTACAAAAGATGTTCCCCTGTGTAGACCCCCAAGACATGGAGCTTATCCAGTTTGAATAATAAGAGAAGACTTACATGATTTTTATCTCTCTACTCAGCTGCCTATTTTCACTATATATATATATATATATATACACACACTCAGAGTGTCTGAGATCTCTAGAGCTGTTTCTAGAGGACAGAGCTTGGCCAGCTCTCGAGGGGTTCAAAAGCAAGGACAGAACTCACACACACAGGACACACAAACCATCACGTTCTCAGGAGCAGCAAAAGCCATCCAGTGTGACAAAATGTACTTACACCATTGGTCTTCCATCAGAGGTTGTAATGAAGCACATGGCACATAAAATGATTGCAGCCTGGGCCAGGTTTCTTATAGAAGCCATTTTGTCTGCAAAGGTAGAAATGAATACACGTAAAGTCTGTAGTTCAAGTTATTTCTGTTTGTTCCAAACAAATTCAAATTAGGGGAAAAAAAGTTGAGAAACATCAGACAAGAGTTTTTGAAAAACATTTTTTGTGAAACTGGTTAGAGCAAGGAATGCAAATGAAGGATTTATTTCTAATACTAATTTTGTGAGCAACTCATTGTTACTCCCTGGGAACTCCGTGAATTTTGGTCAGCTTTAGCTGCCTTGCATCATCATCATCACCATCATTACCATCATCTAGGTACCTATCTCTTGCATAATCGGGTGAAAAGCACCATGTTCTTCCATTATTACTATTATTTTTATTATTGTCATCATCATCATCATTATGATTTTGTAGCCTTCAAGTCCAGTGAAATACTTGCGTATAGCTATTCAAATGAAAAAAAAAATCACAGAATAAAACTTTCTGTTTCTCTATTTCTTTTGCATATTCTTTAGAATGAAGAGGCTGACACTTTCCCTGACAAATTTGCACGGAAGCATAACTCTACTGAGTTATCCCAGCCACTGTTGAGTTACAGAAGAAAAATTAAAATTATGCCCTTCATTTTATCAGGGATAATCCTGCATTTCTTGTATGAATTCCCCTCTGATTTTTACACCATCATCAGAATTGCCATTTTGAATATATTTAGAAAATATTTACCACTGATGATGCTACAACAACCCAATTCCAATATCAGTTTCTAGTCTGGATTTTCAGTATTGGCAGGCAGAAAATGCATCTTTTTGTTGCCACTTAAGAAATTTGATACAGAGTAACTGAAACCTAAGAGATAGAAAACTCCACAATGCCAATTTTTGCAATAGTTTCTGCAGCTTTGCTTAAAGTCAGAAAAGCATTTGTAACACAGACTCTTACATGACAGTATCAATGAGATCCTGGCAGTCCATCTAACCCAGGATTAGAAATTCAGCATTTGAATTCACTTCAAGATATTTCTCACTCACCGTCTCGCTCTGACTTTTTCATTTCCCAGATTTAGTTCAAATAACAGAACAGTTTGACCTTACTAAGATTCACTTGTTTTTTAAGATAGTCTGAAGAGAAATTAACACAAAAATGGGCAAAGAATCAATGATAAAATATTCTAATAAGTCTTCCAGAGAACTTGGTAAAAAGTAGAGTATGCTTACCAGATAGAATGTTTAAGAGATTTCTGGCTTGGGTATGTCAGCAGATGACTGTCTCTTGATGTCAAGTATATTTAAAGACCACTGAATTGGTTTAGTGGACCCCTTAAATGTAACTTTAAAATAGAGCTTCTAAGTAACTTGGAAGCCCTTTTATTGTCTCAGTTGATGTCACTGTCACACACACCCTCCTGACCCTCATGTACCCACCCTCAGATGCTTTCGTTGATTTGACATTTCATTTACAGGGTAAAGAGGCCTCAGCAGAAAGTCAGTCCTGGGAAGCTGGGAGCAAGTTTGACTTTTAAATTCAGAATTGTGCCCAAGATAACGTGAGCTCTGAAGCTGTTGGAAGGAATTGCAAAGAAAATTTCGAGTTGTTAAATGCAGGCAGGTAAAACTTGAATGAGACAGTAAGTGATCTACAAGTGAAAGATTACAACTAAATATTTTTATAAAATCCTGAAAAGATAATCCTTTTAATATTTGTGGGAAATAAGAATAGTCAGGGTCAGATATAAAGTTTATTTACTAGTAAGGAGCAGAAGCCTCCAGAATGAGAGAGAATCAAGTTTTTAATGAGCTGGTACCACTGAAAAGTTGCTGAAATGCTGTTAGACCCTCACTGCTCTGTTTTACCTATATCTGTGAATAGCCCTGAATATCCCCAATGTGCTAAGTGGAATGAAGGCATTTGAACCAGCTGAGATAAAAAATAGGACTTTATAAATGTTGGGAGAGAAATATAGAATTCTGCCTGCTCTCTAAAAAGTGAAATGTGTAAATCAGCAGTATTTTCCCATATGCATGAAGAAAAATTATTTTTGCTGCAAGATATTTTTCCTGTGTTAGAGTCTTCTTCTGATTTCCAGTGTATTTCTCCCCAAAAAACTCAAGCAAGCATCCACAACCATAAAACAGTTTGCACTTGCACATTGTAACCCAGAATTTGTAAGATATTATTGCTTTTACCACGAATGCTTTTTGCTTATGCTGTGGTCCTGTTGTATCATAAAGAGTTGTAAAATTACATGGGGAAAGGGAGGGAAGAAGCAGAAACTCCAAAAAGCTCTAGAGATCTCATGGTTCCCTCAGTCTACAGATTAGTGAGTAAAGTGAGAATTAATGAAGCAATTCACTTGAACAAGTCCAGGAAAACAGAGTTAAGATATTGTCAGCTGGCAATATCCTTCCCTTAAATTAGGGATTCCTGGGGCTATGTTTTATTAGGAGAATTGGATCTCCTGGAAACACCAGGATACTAACCTGTAGGTTAAAACATGACTAAACTATTACTAAAGGATATTCCTAGGCATAATGTGACTAAAAAATCTCCAGTGGAATGGCATGACAGGCAAGGATTTTAAAATCTCTACACATTTGGCAATGGAAAAATCTCTTTTTTCAGGTTTTACTGTAACATATGCAAAACCTTTGATGAAACTCTCAAGGTCATTTTTTTACAGAGGCCTGGCATTCATGTGGAACCTTTAGCATGTGACAGCAAAGGCTGAAGTAAAGAACAAGTGGTAGAAAATTTATTGTCATTTTTATTCAAAGGTAGTGATGGGTTGTACCTAAATTTTCAAACAGAGATGGCTTAACTTGATACCTTGAAAAAGATGGAGTTTATTTCAGGAGTGTGAAGACACAAAAAGAAAAATATTCCGTATGTGCCCATTATTTCTAGACAAATAGAGCCTGTGATGGTAATTAAAGAAATTTTGCTCAAAATGGGCATTGCTTTACATGCAGAAAAAATAACTTACTTGATTTGGATTATTCTCCCTAATACCCAAAAATTATGTTATTTGAAAATACAGCTGCTAATAAGTTATGCAATGTCATCCCTGTTTGCTAAACTTGGCATATCAAATATGGGAATGGCAGATAATGGACCAAGTGAATGCAGTTTTTTACCACACACTGTAATTGTTTGCACTTTTGTTTGGACACAGTGTATCCAGTGTTTAATAAGGAGCTGAAAATGGTATTGAGCTCTTTCGTTGTTTCAGTCAGAGGATGATTCATGTTCAGATTCAAATTTTTCCCTGTCTTAAGCATCCTTTTAATAATTCAGGTCTCTTTTGGGCACTACTGAACTGACCCCAGGAAACCAGGGCTAAAAACTGCTGAACTGCTGTTCAGTAAGAGGCTTAAAACTACCCACATTTATAGACACTGCCACAAAAAAGAAACAACAGAAAGAAAAAAAATATTATCTCTTCAATTGAAAGGCTTTTATTGATATTTTGCAGGTATAAGACTGTGTGCATAAATACAAAGGCAAAGTATGGATGAAAAAATCTGGAGGTTCTTAGGAATTTTTTGTGCCTACAAATGAGACTTGACCTATGGAAGACAATTTTTGCTCCTCTTGGAATAAGAAGAGGGAAAACACGGTGGATTCTGAGTTTCCAAAGGGAGCATGGGCACCTTTTTAGGCTGAAATACAAAAATATGTAGGAGACTTTAGTTCACATGTGTGACAGTTTCTTCATGCACAACAGCAAATTTTCTCAGGCTAGATCCAAGCTTGATGGCGTGTTCTCTTCACACAGACCCACAGAATGCTCTATGGAGATGAGACAATATAATAATGCATTCTCTAAAGTTTATTACAGGAAAAGCTTCTCCATGCCAGCAGGCATTGCAGACACCAGGCAGGGGAAGGCACTTCTGAGGATGAGGATGAGGGAGAGGCAGAAAACCCAAAGTGCTGGAACCACAGCGTGGAGGGAAGAGCTGACCACAGCCTTTTCCTCTGACAAGAGCTTTTCCTGAGCAGCCAGCAACCTACTCTTCCCTGACCTTCCCTTATAGATTGTACAGATACCTGAACCAATTGGGCATGAAGAAATCTGGGTTGTTTGCTTGCAGCTGCTGTGCCACTGACGTTGAATTTGTGCCATTGGGTGTAATCAGACTCCAGGGCTGAAAACAAGGGGAAAGCAATGAGACAGATTTTACAGCCAGGCAGCTGAACAACGACCAAATAGCAAAAATCCTGAATTATTTTTAAAATGTTTTTTGCATATTCTATTCATTTTGTCATGGGAAAATATTATATTAAATCTTGAAATTAAACCCATCCTGAGGTACATCACTGGAATATGCTTAAAGGACATAAAACTTTCTACAATTCTACTGTTCAGTGATTAAAGCACATTTTCAAAAAATATTGATGTAATCTGGTGTATTAATATTCCTACAGAAGTCTCCATTCTCTAGATTTAAGGCTTCAGTGCTGCAGGGAGATTCCTGCAGTGCTATTTCCAACAGCAGGCTTTTCCCACATTGCTTCTTGCAGAGGGCAGCTCCAGATAAAATGCTTTCTAACTGCACCTATGGCTTAAAGAATATTAGCAGGTCATTGAGCAGGGGAGCAAAGTAATTGATGACACACTGGATGATTGGTGAGGCCACTTTCTAAATGTGTCCAAGGAATGCTTGTGTCTTGACACAATGAAGAGCCAAAGTGACAGTCAGTAAACTCGTTAGAACTTCATTTGATTGACAAGATTTGTGGCTTTTCAAATACCACAGCAGCATGTTCAGTAATTTATGTAAGCAATGTTGGGCATCTTCAGGTGGGTTTTGGGTTCGTGCAGCCAGATGAAGCTTCAAGCCCATGACAGTTTCTAACTGGATAAAAAACAGCACAAGGATTTCTCAAAAGATCACCTATCACAGTTCGAGTTTGTGTCCAGTCCTCATGCAATTTGGTTTTAGCAGCTATTGGCAACTATGCATTTGGACAGAATTGCTTACCAGTATGTCTTCTCTCCAGTTACATAAAATCTTTCACTTGAGAATCA